TATTGTGTAGTCCACACTTTACTCTTTTTTGCTTTGTTTTAGTCCTTGTCTAAAATTACTCCTTCTTGAGTTGATTTTCATCTCTTTGGCTCATTTTTCAATAATCCTGCAAGTAAGCACATTTTATTAGTTTTCGAAAATACCTTTAAGTATTTTTTTTAGCTAAAACTAAAGTAAAAGGGTGCAAATAAGTAGTCAAAATCCCTACTTATCAAGATCGAACCCCTTTACATTGGAAGAACTGTCCGTAAATAAGGTCCAAACTCCCGATGTAGATTCTGACACCATCACTGCTTCTTTGGTTTCTAGAGGCAACAATCTCGGACTGAAATTGGCCACAAAGTCGGCCAAAACTTGCGACTTAATCGCAGTCCTAGGTTTATTCTCTATGTCAAATTCACTCATTTCAATGGCCCATTTAGCCAATCTACCCAAGAGTTCGAGTTTGTGAAGGATATTCCGCAGGGTAAAGGTAATCACCAAAGCTATTAACCTAATAATAGATTCCAAACGGTGACTACGAGAGTTTAGGCCAACTTTTCCAAATGCGGGTAGCGAGCTTCTGCTCCCGTTAAAATTGTACAAACCTAATAAATGGGAGATTGCGTACCTTCATCCTCACAGACTAAAATGTCTCTTACCGCTACCTCCGAGACTGCTATGCAGATTAACAATGTTTCACTTTCCTCCGACTTTGATAGTAATAGAGGGCTACAAGTACCTCTTCAAAGCCTGTTGGCATTCCGAGGTCCATTCGAAGTTATTTTTCTTTTTGAGCAGCGCGAAGAAACGATGAGATTTCTTCGATGACCGGGAAATGAACCTGCTCAAAGTGGCCAATCTCACTATGAGACTTTGAACTTCTTTCACCCTTGATAACTGGTCTGGGATGTCTTCGATGGCTTTGATTTTGTCGGGGTTTACCTCATTTTCCCTTTGTGATACCAAAATCCTAAGAACTTGCCAGAGCTGACCCCGAACACACACTTCTCAGGCCTTTGATAAGTGCCTCCAGTGTTCTTTAGCCCGAAGGGTATCACAATATAGAAATATATGCCGATATTTGTTATGGATGAGGTCTTTTCCTGATTCTCCGGGTTCATCTTAATTTGGTCGTACCCGGAGTAGGCATCGAGGAATCTCATTAACTCGTGCCCGACTGTTGCATCAATTATTTTATCGATGTTTGGAAGTGGGAATGAGTCCTTTGGACACGCCTTATTCAAGTCCTTATAGTCTACACACCTGTGAAATTTATTTTTCTTCGTAGGAACTACTACTACGTTAGCTAGCGAGTCAAGATATTTTACCTCTCGGATTTAACCGATACCAAGTAAGCAAGTTACCTCCTCTTAGAGGAATTTATTTCTGGACTCGGCAATCAAACATTTCTTTTGTCTTACCGGAAAAATTCTAGGATCCAAGCTTAGCTTGTGCATGGCCACTTCAGTTGGGATACCTTTCATATTTGCATGCGACCACGCAAAACATTCGACACTAAATTTAAGAAATTCAATAAATCCAGACCTGAGCTTGGGATGCAATCCTATCCCCAAGTGGAATTTCCTTTCCAAGAACTTTTCAAGCAATGCCACTTGCTCAAGCTCTTCCCTGTGGACTTTGTTGCATTTGTCTCTTCTGGTACATGGAAATATTTTGGCACCTGATAAGATTCTGATGCCTCTTCTCCCTGGTTAGCTTCACTTGACTCGGGAGCACGTATCGGTTATTGTAATTGCTATGCCACATGCTCCTTCCCTTTCCTAATGGAGACCAAAATTGCATTCATCTCCCTTGCCGCCAGTTGGTCGCCCTTTATCTGTTTAATCCCCTCAGGAGTTGGGAATTTAAGCAACTGATCATATGTTGAAGGCACGACTTTCATCTCGTGCAACCACGATGTTCCTAGAATAATGTTGTAACCCATATCATCGTCTACGACCTCGAAGAGAGTCGTCTTCATCACCCTTTCGACATTTGTGGGCAGCAGGATTTCTCCCCAGATTCCAATCTGATCATCTTCAATCCTTATCTTGGACTCGTACCGGCTGTGAACGTCCGCCCAAGTCGTCGCTTGGAACTTAAGCAAACTTTCCTTTAATTTCTAGGAAGCATTAGAACTTCTCGGATTAAGATCCTTGGTGAATTCTTCAGCCGCCTATTTATTTAGAATAGCCAGGAGCGACATTCTTTTCGTTTGGAACCGGGCGACGAATTCTCGTAGCAACTCGGACTCTCCTTGTGCAATTCTGAATATGTCGGTCTTCTGGGTGTGCACCTTTTCTGCGCCCGGCATAAGCCTTAATAAAAGAATCCGCGAGCTTCTCAAAGAAATCTATGGAATGCTCGGGCAACAACGAATACCACGTCAAGGCTCCCCTCTGAGAGTCTCTCCGAATTTATTCAGCAAAATAGATTCAACCTCGTGGGAACCTAAATCGTTCCCCTTCACGGTCATTGTATATGTGACAATATTCTCCTCAGGGTCCGAAGTCCCATCATATTTTGGCACATTGGGTATTTTAAACTGCTTCCGGATCAATTCTGGTACCGCACTTAGTTTGTATAGCAATTGAGTGTACTTCTTTGAGTGTGGTCTTTTTAGCACTGGTAGTGCACCCGGGATTTGGTCCATGCGGGCGTTCACTTCCCTCATAAACCATAAGAGTTCGCTTTTTAAGGGATCACTCTCGTTGTTGTGAGCGGACCCGCTCCCCCAGCCCCATCGGAGTCGACCTTGCCCCTTGGGATGTTGTTGTCGACCCTCTGTGTTGTTTGATTTGTGGGAGCACTGGGAGGAGCCGGACCTCGTCCATTCACATTATTGGAAGCACCCAACAATGTCTGCTTTAGTTCTGTCATAACCTTATCCTGCCGTGTGAGGTGGCCTAGAATGGCCTCTTGTTGCTCCTGCAGAACCCTTACCACTTCAATAACATGCTCCTCTTCCGTATCAATAGGGGTTGCCTCCTGAACATGACACGGGTACCGTCTACCGTGGATCAGTGTGGCATCACTCCCCTCATTACGGGTATCGCTGATTGAATCCTCGCGTTGAGGTTGGTCTCTTTGAGACTCAAGATTGTGTGTGTTGTTAACATCTTCCATTTTTTGTAATTTTTTGCTAAGGACAAATAATCAAAATACATTAGTAAAAGAGGCAAGGACCAACTTAATTATATGACTGTCTAGGCCCCACGATGGGCACCAAATTATTTACCTGTAAAATAGTATAGTTGAATTTATACGTGGTTTCTAGGTACAAGTGAATTAATTCGATCCTGAAATAGTAAAAGAATTAAATAAATACGCAATACTTAGCCTTGAGGTGAAGATGAAATAGCAGAAACAGTAGTTTCGGAAGCAGCATTGCCGAGCACAACAGTAATAGAATCAAAGAGCAAAAAAATAAAATTGTATAAAGCTTTGAATAGATTATGGCGTATGTTTGCTAGAAAATCTGTCTCCCCTACAATGATAGTAGAGCTCACTATTTATAGTTGCACTTAGAGAATAAGGTCTAGGATTATGCCCCTCTTTGATGTTAATTATATATGAGGGCCATTGAAGAATGTATAACAACGACCATGAATAACAAATTCTTCAAAACAGACAGTGTAATAAATGTTGTGGAATATTCTCCATTAAATGTTATCTGGTGATAGACACTCATTGCATCTTTACTAGTGATAATAGATGAAACAATTATCTTCGATTTTAACTATCATATGCCTTCGGCTCTAAGTGTCATTCTTTCACGCAATGACTTATCACAACATATTTTACCCCATATATATAGCCCGGTCATCATCTAATGTTCAGTTGTTTTATTTAATTATTTGGTACAGAGATACTCTCTGTCAGTATTTGAATTTTGTACTTTTTTTTTTCGTCTTTAAAATTTCGTGTTGCAGTAGTTTCATTAGTATAATTCATCATGACTAAAATTTTCATGATTGCTTTCCTTCCTAGGAAACACTGATTTTACAAACAAGCACTCCCATTTCACCTTCAAGGGAAATAAGAATTCATGATGTGTAAGGTAGGTGGCTAGACTGTGGTTGTGTAGTTAAAGGCAAGAAAATGTTGATCTGAAATTCCAAATACTACAAGATAATCGGTCCTTTTGCATTGGAATTTTTGTTCTTGAATTTTTCTCTTGGAATATGAAGCGATGATGCACGGTTGTTGGTGAACTTAATTAATTGGATTTTGATATTATTCTATATAAATTCGTATATTTTAATTACTGATTTAATGGTAACTAATTATAGCAATTCTGCTATAACAAATTCCTAGTTACGATACATACTACAATGTCCCTTGAAAATCCTTTTTTTTATTGGCTATAGCTTCAACTAATGGTCAACGCCTGTCCTTTCTCTAAGTTAACTCATGTATTAGTATCTGTTCTAACAAATCATACAAAAGAAGAAGGTTTTTAAAGTGATATTTAGACACATATATGAGAAAATAATTCCAAGGAAAGCTTCCCGGCTCGTGCTTTATTCCAGCTAATTTAAAATGTAGACTCCTTTTTCGTACTTGAGTGCAAAATAGAGAAAACATATAATTAATTAAACTTTAGAGTGGTCAATGGTGCATAGGGTTTAAGGTGATTAATCTTACCTGACACACAGAATTTACATTAAATCAAATAATTTAATTTTAGCAGTAAGAAATTAAAATGAAAATTATACATATAAATTAGCTATGTATGTGTGAAAGACATGCATGTATCTTGATTCATTCATTTGGATTAAGTTTTTACTTAAGTGATCCTGCAACGGTAACATCTTTTCACGAACTGGTATATTTTCGTAAAAATCAATTAGAATGGATGGATCGGAATTAATATCATCGATGGTTGCAAATATTTTTGGAAAAATGAAACTGTTCAAATTAAAGGAAAGAAATGACATTGCTGCGATCCTAATACATCAGTCCCGGCCCGTGGCCGCGGTTTCAATTCCAAGGTAAACATCCATCAAGAAGCTAAAGAGAAGAAAAAGCTAAGCTTATAAGATAATCTAATGGAAATTTAAACCAAGAGCAAAAATAGAAGAAGTCGATAATCAGATAAAATTTAATACTAAGAGTAACCAAGGCGGAGTTCCAAATCCAAATCCATATCTACATTATCCTCCTTTGCATGAGTTTGGAGCAACCCCATGTTAAAGTCCAATGTAACGAACTCTCTCTTTTTCCAAACCCTATTTTCATTGTTTCTCTTTACAAAATCTGGTGGCTGCTTCACTCCAAGAGAAACTTTCTTACTTAGAGTACTCTTAGCTACATCTCCCTTTAGATAGCTCCCTGTGAAATTAAACCTAGGAGACGACACTGATGAAATGCTAGGATTATGGTTAGGTTTTTTCGGAGATGAATTAGTATTATCACATGAAGGTGAAGGAGAGTAGTGTAAGAGTCTGAGTTTTGCCCTATCCCTTCTATGAACATTCATATGACCACCTAGAGCTTGTGCAGACCTGAATTCTCTCTTGCAAAAGCTACACTTATAGTCTCTTTCTGGCCATATCGAGGCAGAATCCCATATTTCTATGTGTGTGCTTTCTTTGAACTTCATTTTCTCCATGAGTTAGCTGGTTCTTTTTGAAAGAGAAAGAGATGTTTGAGAAAGAAAAAGTTGAGAGCTAAGTGTTGTAGCAGGGGTTGCTTTATTTATTCTACTGATGATGAAGTCAAGACATACTTATAAATATTTCTAGCGTGTGTAACTATGAGTTTGTACCTGCAAAATTTTTTGCAATGTCCTTTTCCGCTAAAAGAGATTGCTTAGCCGAGGAATTAAGGACTCATGATTCCTTTTCTTGCCATATATAGGACATTTTTTTAGATCACAGTATGCTTAGATATCTGTTGCGGAAAAACCTGATATATATAAAAAGGTAGCCCCACATCATAATTTACACAGATATTGTTCTCATGACCAAAAATTTTCATCATGGTCGAACCTTTCCTTATTACTTCAGATGAAATAAAGGTTCAAAATTTGTGATGATGTAATTTTGACCGGGTGTATATCTATTTTTTCTGCCAATTAATTAATCTTGATTCGTACTCTCACGTAAATAACAGTATGCACTTTTTGTGTGTGGTTGTTTTGGTTCACAAAGTAAGGCGAATGAAGTCAGCAATATATCATACAACAGAAGTGGTCGTTGTTTTACCTTTTAATTACATATATAGATGTGCTTCAAAATTCAAATGGAGAAGATTATTTTTTTTAAGCATACTTAGTGTCTCCAAGGACACTTTGATTACCTAGGATTGTTAGAGTATTACAAGCATTATAAGATAGAAATTTCTCAAAAACATAATGTTCCAGTAGTTCCTTTTCCACAAAACATTTTACATAAGATGTAGCTTTAACAAAAGTCTTCTTGCCTTCCAATTGATCCTTTACCTTTCTTGCCATGTGATGAGCTGGATTATTCCCTTGCCTGAATGTGTGCTGGAGGATTATCTCCTTCTATTAGTGCATTAACCACTTGCATTCATTAACAATATCGTCATATAACCTATTGCCCTGTAGGATGGATTGGATGGCCCCACAGAATCTGTCTCTATTACAAGCGGGGTATATTCTCCATTCCTTAACCATTTTGAGTCCCTCTAGTAGAGCTTTTATCTCCGCTTCTAGTGATACACCTGCATATGATTGTTTACCAAAACCCACAATCCAGTGCCTTTTAACATCCCTGAAAAATACCTCCCAATCCACATTTTTGTGTAACACTGTCAAAGCTAGCATCAATATTGAGTTTAGACTAAAATGAAGAAGATTATTGTTTATGCAATGAACATATAATGTTAAGCGTCTAATAATAGTGCATGGTTTATTATAATTAATATGAACGATAAGTACATTGCTATGTAGGGATTACCTACCATAAGAGTTTATCTTTAGATATTCTTCACGTACTATTATGCATTAAATATTACTCCTAATACTTTTAGTCTTGTGTAAGTTATGGTAGTATTAATAACACTAATTAAGTTTGATTTGATTTACGATACTAACTATAAATCTTATGCGGAGTTTACTGAAAACTAAACATTGTATTAATTAAGTTGCAGAGATTAATAATCTAGTAATGTAGAGTTCTTTTTTTACTAGAAATTAGCCAAACATTATGTAAGCATTTGTACTGAAACTAAATTTTATCTCTCAAATCAAATACGACTCTCCTAACTCCTACGTTTGTCGAGACATATACTAAGTAGGCTCGCCCTACATCACTATTCAAGTGTAGCGTTAAGTGGGCAAAAATTTTCATCACATCCTAAATGAGTATATATGAGGAGGTATAAATTAAGACAAGAAAATAAGTCTAAGAGCCTGTTTGGACTTAAAGAATGTTTTCCTTTTTTTTTCGAAATTAATATTTGGCTATAAAATTTTCAATTTTCATTTGAAGATGAATTTTGGAATTCTTCGAAAATTTCAAAAACTCTAAAAAGCTGTTTTTCAAAATTTTCACTCAGATCACTCACAAAACTTCAAAAACAACCCAAAATTATATTCATGTCCAAACACAACTCTAATTTTCAAATAACATTTTTACTTGATTTTTTTTTTTTTTTGTAATTTTACAATTCTTATGTTCAAACGCCCACTAAATAGTAGAGTTAAGAAGAAATAATGCGTGTAAAAATCTATATTGTTAACCATAATCACTTTCTGAGATTTTGTTGAGTCACAATAAATGTTTGTGTTAAATGTGTTATGTATAGTTTATTGTTTATTCGTTTTCTCAAAGTCAAAAAGTTTTTGTGTTGTGTGTGTATATTTTTTGTATTTTAACCCCCCAAGTCAAAAGTTGTTGATGTAGAAGCCAACTCCACAAGTAGCCTCCTCGCGTAGTGAGTCAGCGACTACCACTTTCGCTCCAAATTGTGCCCCAATTGCCACAACCGCCATAGATGAGATAGCAGTAAAGTGTGTGGAGAGGCCAGGATTCTGCTCCTGTCTCCGTTTGTATGTCCAATTCTCTTTGTACATAAAGAAGGGATTTTCATTCTTTAACCAAATAATAATTGTTCATAAGCCCATGGCTCCTCCATCTTCAACAGTTTCAAATGAACAATCGCAAGTACAAACCCTAAACCTAACCATAATCCCTGGTTTACCCAACGATTTAGCAGCGCTAATACTAATATTCGTTCCTTACTCTCATCATTCACGTCTCAAATCCATTTGCAAATCATGGAAACTGTTTTTCTCTTCGAAAACCGTCATTTCTCTGCGGCAGAAGCACCTCCCACCCACTACCCTCTCCCCACTCCTCTGTATATTTCCACAGGATCCTTTAATTGCTTCCCCTTACCTCTTTGACCCTGTAAATCTGGCGTGGTCCCCACTCCCACCTATGCCCTGTAATCCCCATGTGTATGGCCTTTGTAATTTCACCTCAGTTTCTGTTGGTTCTTATTTGTATGTCTTAGGTGGGTCCCTTTTCGATACCCGCTCGTTCCCTCTTGATTGCCCGTGTCCGTCCTCGTCGGCTTTTCGGTTTGATTTTGTGAGTTTCACGTGGGAGAATTTATCCCCTATGATCAACCCTAGGGGGAGCTTTGCGTGTGCTGCCACGCCCAATTCGGATAAGATTCTAGTGGCGGGTGGTGGGTCCCGTCACACGATGTTTGCGGCAGCGGGTAGTAGGATGAGTTCAGTGGAGATGTATGATATTGGGAAAGATGAGTGGGTCCCATTGGATGGTTTGCCTAGGTTTAGAGCAGGGTGTGTTGGGTTCTTTGTTGGGAATGGGGAGGGGGAGGAGGAGAAGGAGTTTTGGGTGATGGGTGGGTATGGCGAGTCGAGGACAGTCTCGGGTGTGTTTCCTGTGGATCAGTATTATAGGGATGTTGTAGTGATGGAGATGAAGAATGGTGGTGGTGGGAAGTGGAGGGAGCTTGGGGATATGTGGGAAGAAGGGGAAAGGTGGAGGCTTGGAAAGATTGTGGTGGTTGAGGATGGTGTTTCGGACGCCCCTGCAGTATTCATGCTTGACCAGAGTGATATTTTCAGGTAAGGTATTTTGGAAAATCTTTTTATGCATTTCTTCTAATTAAAATTTTCATTTTAATTTTATGCATTTCAACATAGGAAGTAAGCAATAGAAGATAAGCGTGAGTGGTAAAAACTGTTAGTTTCAGTGTATCTTTAATTAAGTCGTAAAAGATAAATTATTTACCAGTATTGGAGTGATTTGGCCCGAAAATAATGGAATTGGACGTATGAGATTTATATGACTGACCCCAAATAGTTTGAGATCGTGGTTTAGTTGATTGACTGAACTTAGTAACTTAAGGAACCCTAGATCTATGGTAGTTTGTCACAACTTCAGTATGAGAAGCTTGATGAGTATTGCGTTGTGCATCTAAAGTTGATCTTGGTGTAATATCCGATCTCAGAATTGTCTTTTGTCCTTTGGCTTGATTAATAGAGTCATGGCAGAAAAGGGGGTGGGTCACCAAGTAGGGCAAGGGAATAAACACTAGGTGACAATTTGATATGTGTGTTTGATGTCCTGCTATATGACGTGAGTTAGTTTCTTTTTTCTGATTTGTTGAAATAATTTTATTAGAGTAAGTCAGTAGAGTGGTGTTTGGTTTAGTTTCTTTTGATAATGGTGGTGTCCAAGCCAGTTTGCGTGCACCTTGACTATACCATTTACCTGCTACTTCCTGTCAGAGATATCATGTAACTCTGTCCCCCAAGATTCAGGCAGATGGGTAAACCTTTTGCTTTCTAGCCTCTTCTGGGATTTGACTCATGTTTTGTTAAAACTTTTGAAAGAGTTCTGCCAAATTATTTTCATTTTCATTTTGTAAAACTGTTTGTCAACCAAAAGCAAAGAAAGAAAGCTTTTTTTCTGTCCCAAATGTTTAACCCAAATGACACCTGAGAATTCCCTATGCGGTAGATCAAACCACATCCATATTACCTTCCTCCTAGAATGATCTTTTCCTTTTATTGCCATTGTTGTTGTGACTCTTACTCTAACCTTTGAATCTCACACTCTGTTATTTATTTCCCTCCTTTTTCTCTGTCAGTTCTCCTTTGATTTAGTTTGCTACGTCCTCCCAATCTTCTTTCAATTTGCATCATCATTTTCCTTGGTATTTCCTCTTTAGACCCCCAAGAAATATGAAAATTTCCCAATCTTCAGCTCCTTTTTCCCTCGCGTGTTTGTGGACATCATCTGAAAAGTCTTTGGTACAATTTTATTTGGTCACATCTTTGATTAGTTTCACTTTTTTTAAAAAAAGAAAAATTTAAACTATTCACCGTTATTAAGTCAGGTGTGTAAGTATAACTACTAAATGCATTTGAATAAAGTGGTAAGTATAAATACATGGATGTAGTTCCATACTTCCAGTTACTTTGTAGTATTTAATTTTTGCTTTTCCAGTATAAGGAAAGCAATTTTGCTAAGCCAAGGGTTATGTTTCAGCCTCTAATTAGTCCAATGATATAAAGCTAGATGTGAACTGCACATATAAGAGTGGTAGCCTCTAGAAAATGAGCTCATCTTTCAGCTTCTAATCAGCATTTAATAGATTTTTTTTTTTTTTTTTTTTTTTTTTTTTTTTTTTTTTTTTTTGTGATTGCAACAATCTGTTTGGTTCCTCTTTTGAACACCATATTAGTCAATGGGACTAAGTGCAGGGGTAAGTGGACTTGGTCTATGACTCATTGTCAGACCGTTGGTTAGCTGACCAAATTGGCGGTTTTGATTTTCTTTTTTCTTGATGGCAACAGATAAATCATTTCTTAATACGTATTCCTTCGCATGCTTCTAAGGCTCGATCTCGTCAGTAAGTACGAGAGCTCTAATGTGAATCAATCGTACTTTCACTGCACCGGCTTTCATAAAGCACCTTCGGGCAGCAGCAACTATTGGGATCCAATTTCGAGATCAATTCGACAATGAAACTCTGAAAGATGTCAAAAATCTGCTTAGGGTCAGATTGGACTTCATCTTCTTGCCCTGCTTGCCACCACTCTGAAACCTGATTCGTAGCTCTCTGTATCATTCCGAAATAAGTTAGGGGTAGGGGTCTAGCTCAGCTCTAAGCCTAGGATAGGACCTTGTCCCTGTAGATTTTTTCTAGGGTATGAGCAAAAACAGGATTGGCTGAAATTATATGTCATTTATTTCTGTAGCAAAGTAGGTTCGGTTTACTTCTTTTACAAGGAATAACTATTTTTCATATATCTACCTGAAACACACTTATCAAGTATATATGTGCTTGTCTGTGTTTAGCTACCTGAAATACAAGAATACTCACTGTGTCCTGTTTCATTGAATGTAATTTGAAAATTTATTTAACTTTGATGGTATATGAGTAGTGGACATAGTGGTGCAACAAAATGTTGAACTGACTGTTAGATAGGTAAATAGCATCACATTTTATACATGAAATTAAAGACTTTAATGTTTCGTGCATGAGTCTTAATATTTATGTAGGAATGTGATTTTTTAAAGGAGTATGATATGAGTAAGTGATTTATCTGACTGTAGCTTGTTTGTTCTGAGGTGTCCCAAATCAATATTTCTTGGGTGCATCATTGGAGTCTCCTTAATGGAAGATAGCAACAGATCCAGTAATGTAGGACGGGTATAGCAAACTGGAAAAAATAGAATCGTCTAAGTTTTAAGTATATTTTTCTGGGTGTATTACAAATGTTCTTATCTTTAAATTATATCTATTTTGTGAATGTATTAGTTCACCAATATCATGAACTCTTCAGAGCATACATCTTCTAGGAAGACTCTAAACTGGAAGTGTATCCATGTCTTATCTGTTAAACCTCATGATTGAGCTTGAAAGTTTAGGTTATTTGATGTTGAGATGCAGGATTTTTCCTTTGAAGGATAACTCTTAGAGTTCTTGGTAAGTTATGCATATGCATCTGATTCATCCAATTTGTATTCAATCCTAAATTAGCTAGAGCAATATCTGTACGTCTGATTGCCTGTGGCTACATCTTATACTCTCTTAGTTAAAGACTTGGAAATCTTGTCATTTTGTCAGTGTCCACATGAAGGTCTTGTGTTCTTATGTTACATTTTTCTCGTCCTTTGCTGCATCTGTAGGTATGAAATGGCTTCCAACAGTTGGGTAAAAGAAACAAGTGTGCCAAGAAAAACATCTGATGAAGCATCAGTTGGCTTTGTCGCATTGGATGGGGAGCTGCACGTGATGACTCATTTAAGTGGGGTCAAATCAAATGAGTGCCAAAGATTGAGGCAGCAGAAACGGTCAGCAACTCTTCTGATACAAATATATCATCCTAGGAAGAACTCGTGGAGGTGTGTCACTACAAAGCCACCCTTTCATCACCCTTTGGATTTCAAAACTGCAGTTATGTGCACCATTCGTCTGTAGATTTATATTGTTCCATTGGTGTGTCCATGAAGCGGTTGTTTGGTCAGTAGATTGTCCTACCTGTTGTGAATGGCATTGTATAGCTTTCATTGACATGTTCTTATTGTCAGAATTAGTATTGTAAATGCAACTGTAATAAACTCAATTCTTCTTATCTCCGTCTCTTTCCTTTTATTAATTGCTTCTACAGGACAGTTCATCTCTCTCTCTCTCTCACACACACACACACACATAACCATAACTGGGTTGTCTGTGAAGAGTGAAAAATCAACAGTTGGCCGTGCTATGTTTAAACCAGTATCTGTCTTTCTGTATTAACACATCATTAATTTTTTTACAGTTTATCTTCTTCATATTTTGGGATTTGATTTGTAGTTAAGTTTCTTCATGATCTTTTGGATCTATCTTCTCTTCAGCATCAGAATTATTCCATTATGACGCCTTCTCAATATCTATCTTTTTTTTCCTTTTTGTCTATCTGGTTGCCTTCTGCTTTAACAACTGAAGTTTCCTTTGAATCCTCTCTGGCAAACTCGCTTGCCATAGAATCGGCAGTCCCTGAATATGAAATTAGCTCCCATCTCCCAGTTGTGGACGCTTTTTGCTTTTTGGGTTCAATTTCTTTTTTCTTGTCCATCCCCCAACCTCCATCAGCCCAAGAGAGAGGGGGGGGGGGCTTTTCTTTCCTCATTGTTGCCTGTGTTGTTCTTTTAGATAAGTTACCACCTCTAGTAGCAGTTCTTGTTATCACAGCAGCGTAGCTTCTCTGTCTAACAAGAGTTCAATTAAGATTTAGGATCAACCCAAGAAAAAGAGAGTTGAATTTTGCTTTATGCCTGCTGTTAAGACATAGTAACATTTTGGTGCACTAGAACAAACAAAAATGCTTGTAGAGAGTAAAAGATNCGTGTATATTAATAGCAAAAAGTACATGGGGAATTAAAAATCCCTGGGAAAGAAGTAAAGGGCATCCTACAGAAGAGAACGAAGTTTGTGCCCTATGGTACAAGTTTGAGGATAAACTCCATCCTATAAAGTTTGTATCCAAAAACCAAAAAGAAAAAAAGCAAAAAATAATAGAAACTACGCATTGAAAATGTTCTTTTTTGTCCTAATCCTGAAATAGATTAGTTGGTCTTTTTCAATCTTCAAAGTAGCTCTTACTTTCCTCGGCAAAGAATTAGCTTCCTTGAAGGAGGAGGAAGGTAGAGAATTTCATGTGAAGGCTCAAGTTAGCCAGGAGGTCAGCTGTGCGGTTGGCTTTTCTATAACAATGTGAGAAAGTATAGTTGTCTCTTTGTTTCAGGTTTCTGATCTTCTCCAGTATGTCAGTAAGATGCCATGGTCCACAGCGAGCAACTAGATTGTGCCTGGGTAGAGAGAAACACGATGACTGTGTTAGCAAGCTATAATTGAAGCAAATAATTTTATTGCAACGAGGCTGAAGGTAAGACTTTATTTTATGCCTCGCCGTTAGCTTCACTGTATTGACTGTGTCTGCTTTTGGTTAATTTTCTCTAATCTTTTTTCTTTTATTTTCAACGGTTAGGAAAAGATATGATTTTGGAAACCAGAATTTGTCAGGATTGTCATGATAGGATGCAAAATGGAAAAATAGGAAAAAAATAAAAATAAAATAACGGAGAGTTGGGGCAAATCAATTTTTTCGCGGTAAAGCTATCACGAAGAATGTATTATTGTTGCATCCTATTGATGTTTAAGGCCTGTCAGTATTAAAGATGATGAACATACACGCGTTTGACGAACTAAAACCTGAGAGCACCTTTCCATTAAGTCAGGCAACTGAAGGCACTGTTTTCATTGGACATTTGTTACTGCGGGAGTCTTTAATCATCTATGGACAGATGGCACATATCAAGCAGAGCATTGATAGTTAAAGCTAATTAATATTAAAATATATTCTTTATATATAAATGTTAAATTACATTTACGTATATTGTTTAAATGGAGTACAGGTGCATCTGCACTGCGTTTGACTGAATGAATGAGAACTTGGTACAATTTTGAAGACTTCAAAAATCTGTGTTAAATGGCTGCGTTATTAAAAGTGAGATATGTCATTATATGAATTTTGGGAATGAAGTTTTTAAACCTCCACCGCCTGCGGACTCCCTCTTCCAGTCATGGTCTTAATTCAATTCTTGGCTGCGGAATTGAATAATTGAGAATTCAAATGCTGCTATTTTTCTTAATTGTCTAGTCTTTAATTTGTTGCGTCAAAACACATGCGTAAATACTACTTAAAATTTTGTATTGTCGAACTCGCAACAAGTTCAAACTTCAAACATCCCTAGGATCGAAATAATACTAGTTGAATCCGCTACGACCCAATCTGTGCTTGTCTTTCACCCACCCAGATTTAACCCATATCACTCATTTAATACCCCTAGATAAGTGAGAAAGGTTTAAGTAATAATCCCGGTGATAATTAGATAATTCATGATGAATCATATTAAATTCATAAATTGTACGTTCGAAACAAGATAATATTGAAATGCATGCGCGGTTTCAACTCACTGCTATCCAAATATATTCTAAAATCTGAAATTTATTACGTAATGCATGTCATTTGGGTGATCAGTGCTAAAATTCATTTCTCTCCTTTGATAGGCTATGACTTATTCAATTTCCAATTTATTTTTAATAAACCCTTCAGGTCAACAATCAATAATAAGGAAAAAGTGCTTGAAATTAAGGTCCATATAACAATTTCAAGTCCTCCAACCTCCTCCTAGCTTCAATGTTTCACGCATATAAATAGACCCCATTCAATTATTATCAAAAGTAGTAATTTTGTATAATCATTAACATGAGATCTCAGCATAGCAATATCGTTATAGCAACCATAATTATAGTTCTTCTATTGAGCAGCATACCACATGAAGCCACAGCTAGGATTCTAAAGGAAGAAGAAAGAGTTAGATGGACAAGATTAAACAAACATCTTTTGTTACCATGCTTTTACAATCCTGTTCAAACTCCAACCCCCAACCCTGGCACTGGAGGTACAGCTTTCAGCCAAAGGACTGTCGAAGAGAAGAACTTTGCCGGTCGGCGAAAGAGCGTTGCTCATCCTCCTCCAATTATTCCTCCTTCACAAGCAGAATAGTGTTTCAGTTGCTGTAGTCCATGATTACCTACATATATAAGCGCATTAAAATGTGTGCTTATATTATATATATAACCGGTTAATTAATTAATTAATTCTAATAACTTAATTATCAGACGGGACTCTGATCATCTTTCTTTCATTGTTTCATTGTTTTGTAGTTTGTCGTTTTATCCTGATGTACTCTAACTGATTATTATGTTGTATTCTGTGTTAACCTTCTTTCATTCTTTCACTGTAACATTTTTTTTTTTAATTCTTGAAATTCTGATGTGGTCTCTTGCCGGGACGTATATTTATGTTATATATTGAGCTATGGATCATGTGTTGAGGAACATTTGGTGCTTTTTATAAGTCTATAGGTGTTATTATGAGTTATTGCTAGATATCGTGAAATATGGGTTTCATTACCTGATGGGAATTATATCATTGAGTGTCGGTCATGTTAAGTGGCGGATGTACAGCACTATGTTCATCCGAACCCAAGTGTTTTCGTTATGAAAAAATATAAGAATTTTAACAAATAAGCCATCCGTTTCATTTAACTTGGCAAAGTTTGAAGAAATACAAAATTTAAGAAAGAAAGAAAGAGTTTTGAAACGAATAATATAGTTATGTGACTATAAATCATCTCATTAAAGGTATAGTGAGAAATTAACAGTTAAATATTACCAAAATTAGAAAGTTATCTTTCTTTTTGGATGGACTATATAAACCTTGCCACATAAAGTGGAATGGTGGGCGTATTAAATTTTGAACCCATGATTTGAAAGGTATAAATGAGTTCAATTGTAAAAAACTTAAATTTTGTGCCCATCAAATTAAAATTCCGAATCCGCATCTGGTCACAGCCTCAAGTTTGAGAAAGCACGGCCCCCAATTGTGTTAAGGGCTGCATTATTGATCACCGGCAGACTTCTTCTTGTAGTCATAGCCTTAATTCAATTCTTGGCTGCGGAATTGATTAATTGAATATATCCAAATCCTGGTAATTTTTTTGGGTCCAACAATCCTGCTATTTTTCTAACGAATTGTCGTTGCCGCCTAAAACACATGCATTGACACTTCAAAAATTGTAGTTGTTGCATTGTTGAACTTGCAAATACTTCAAACATCCCAAGGATCTAAATAATACTAGTCAGCATTTTCAGTATACTACATACATCAAGGTCGTGAGAACCGAAAGATTGTGTCTTACCGATTAAATTTTGTAGGATTTTGAATAAAACGATGTATTTTTCTCTTAGAACTAAGTTAACACTGGTAAAAACTTAAGAGATAAATTCAACAGACAATAGTTGTTCGTTTTGCACTCAGTTTTACTCGTTTAGCTCCACCACTGATTGGCTTAAAATTTTTGGAGGATCAGGTTTTATAATCGATAAACTCTTACACTATCAGGTCACATGTCACTTAAAATTATCTACATGTAACTCAGGATACGTATAAACGCTCAAGTGTCCCTCCATGTACGTCATGATGTCCTCATTAGGATCGGGAAGTGGGAACGGCTACGTCTTTGCCTTCCCATTTGCAATCTTCTGGACCGCTTGGAGTGTTTCCTTGGTGATAGAGAAGATATACCTCCAAGCCTCCTCACCTCGATCTTCTTATTTGAAGGCTTTTTCGACCTCTAAGTCATTATCTATGGAGCTGCCTCCAGGGATAAACTCTTTAAGAAGAGGTTCCGGGGTTGCTACCAAAAGGATCGCATCAGTGCTTGCGACCGAGGTAGATGTTGAAGGGGCAGTATTTTGAGGCACCGATTTTGAGGTTTTTGCCATCTTGACCTGAGAATATGAACGTTTGAAGATTGACATGAAGTTTTGAATGTTGATATGATGATTTGGGATGAAGATTTGAAGATAAAAGATGAATGTTCGAAGATTAAAGATGAAGAAATGAAGATGTGAAGAATAATTTGTGATGATTTGAGAGGTTGATGAACAAATAAAAAATTCGAGGGTAACTCAAGAAGATTCGAAATCGAAAAGTCAAAAGTGAAAAAAGGAAACCGGAGCTTTTATAGGAGGGAGATAATGAATGCG